CATATCCGTATAAGAACACATTCATAAATCTTATTTCAACTTTTCTTAAAAACAAGCTCAAGAAAAAACTTGAGGAAAATGTTGGTTACCAGGGGATGTTCCCTTTCTGACCTCCATGTACGCCTTGATTTGCGCATTTATAGTTTCGAAAGAAACACCACAATAGTTATCAAAAGCATTGCTGGGAGAATTTGTTCAGCCTTTATTTCTCTTTAAATCATAAGGAAAGAAAATCCTTTTAAATCGCCATTTCTGTAAAGTATCTTCCCGTACACGCTGTATTCAATTTTATTTTATTTCCATAATTGTTCCTGTTCTATTTGCATGAACTCTTTTCTCCTCTTGTTTCAGACACTTCAATAAATGTCCTTTGTGTTTCCCGCCTCTGTAACAGTGTGCCCTGCCTTGATTAGTTTCACCTGTGTTTGATTAGCCTCATTTCCAAGAGTATTTAGCCGGTATGCGTCTGTAGCACTTCACCCATTCGTCTTTGTCTCTAATGTTATTCATCCAAGTTGTTTTTGCTTGTTTCTTCTGCTTTGTGTTTCTGGTGTCCTCATGCTGTTCTTGACCTCACCTTTTGCCTTCTCCCTGCTAGATTTGCTTTCCCAGATTCTCTTGATGGCCCACATATATAGCCTACAAAACCTGTTTTTTCCATTATTAAAGTCTGATAGCATCAAGGTTGTCTTTCTAGATGTGCTGTTGCATACTTTAAGAAAATCATGCTTCAGTACCTAGACATTGTGAACATGACTAGTTAACATTTATAGTTTAGAAACGTTAATCTTAGCATGATAAATGTAACAGTTCTAAACCACACTCAGATGCAGAGGAAATGCCCGGAAACAAATAACAGGTCATAAGAAAAAGTTCTATACATAAACGCTCGTAGGTCAAACACAGCGAGTCAGCAAGGGCAGAAAAATCCAACAAGTTCAAATCCACAAAATCCCAAAACCAAAAATCCAATCAAAGTTTAAAACCAGGCAAGCAAACACACGGAAAATAAGGCTGGAATGCATGAAACACTACAAAGACATTGACAACCTGTCAGAGGGCTGGTGGAAACACAGCGGTATATATACAAGTCAGACTAATTACAGATGGGACGTGTGTGTTGGGACAAAAGGTGGGAAACAGAACAATGGCAGGAAGTCAGACTAGACTAAAACAACAAAATAAAACAGGAAGTGAACACAAAACACAAGAAAACAAAATGTTTGACTAACATAATATCACAGATTACAATATCTATAATATAACAGTGGACTCTGTATTTAAGGCTTTAAACATAGAAATGTAGGTGGAAATCCTTAATTTGGGTTTAGTTTCACCTTTGTATTTCAATATTTTTTGCACCACTTTTATTCTCTTTTGACCAAATGTCTCCCTCTGTCCAAGTCAGCTCTCCATGGCCGAGAGTTATGTGGGGTGAGCCAATGCATGGAAATAATTGATGGCAGAATGAGTAAACAAAACAAAGAAATGGAGCCAGCAAAATAGCCAAAAATTGTATTCTGGATTTGATTAGTATTGTGTCCTCTGTTTGTAATACAGGTCCAACAGGAATTTGTGATTTGGTCAACAGGTTTTCATTTAGTTTTCAGAATCAATGTCAGGCTCTTGATGAAGGGAACAGCTCTCACTGGATGAGGAATTCCTCAGGCATACATAGAGAGGGATCAGAGAGAGAGGGAGAGAGAGAGGAGGCCAAACTGGACTACAGCCAAGTCAAAGAGAGCTAGAGCGATATAGAGGGAGGGAGATAATCAGAGAAGTTGGAGAAAGCCAGCAGGTATTGGAAAAGAGATGCAAAGAAAAGGAAATGCAGTTAACAAGATAACACTACAGAGAGAGAAAATAACACAGAGGTGGTTGCAAATCTTCCAGGGCATTATCAGGCACATAAAGATTTTGCTTCAAAACTAAGTTTAGATTGATTCCATCACACTCAATGTTGTTCTGATAATGGGCCTGACCTTAACAGCAGCCTCGTAGGAGTCCAAATCAAAGAAGAGTGTAGCCGTCAGCTTTCTTATTTTCTCTTAATTATCTCCGTTAATCTTCTTATTAATTTTTCACATGGATGTTAAGTTGATCAACAAGGCTCTGCCCCGGGCATTTTTATTTTGAAATACTGCTGGACCTTCATGAATGTACTTCTGGAACATTTTCCTCTTAAGAACTCGATCTATTGACATTGCATACTGGTGAGCAGAGTGTATATCTGAACATGTAAAGATAATAATTGCTGCTTTATTTATAATTTTCTGAACAGTTATCCACACACACATACAAAAACACACCCGGTCCCCACCAGGATAGAAAAACAACCACATACACGGTCCTAACCAGTATAGCAGTTGCTAGAAGAAGAAAAAAGTAAGGTCAACAAAAGCAAAACTGGTAAGTAAAGTGGTGCAACCTGAGAGCTGATGTATAACCTGCTGGGGAGATAAATAGGAAGTGGGTAACAGTTTTGGGATCAGGTGATGTCTCAAGCAGAAAAGCTTTCTAGTGACGGCTGCTGAACAGGTGGGGGATGACAGGAAGATTGCTTCCAGTGTAGTACAGTAGGGACACAGGATGAACAATTAGAGAGCGGGACATTGACAGCCATGGAAAACTGCCCATTTTGACTGAATAGTCACAGGATTCACAAGCCTCAAGAATTACAAACAGGAAGCTTTTAAACAAGCACTCCCATCACAGTCCCCCTGTCTGCTATTATGTAATAGGGATTTGTAGTTCTTTTAGGTTTAGGATTGATTTTGTAAACTTCACTTTTCAGAAAAGGCCTAACTGAACAGTTGACAAGAGGTAAAAGTCTGATGTCTATCAGACATTTCTTGGCAGACAGCGTGTGAAATAAAGTTAAAAGCACTCAAAAGTATTTCTGGGTCTTCTTGGATTTGGCTGAAAAAAAAATCTCTTGCAGTGTGTTGTGTGTAAGTCTCTGGAGGAAACATCTCCAACGTTGAAGAGTGCCAGAAGAGCATAAAAACTCTCTATTTAGTGAAAAATGAACAGGTAAGAGCAGTGTTTGTGTGGGTTACCAACCTGGAATGAGTTTTTGTGGTGAATATTTGGTCTTCCAGTCGGGAGATTCTTTATAACCTTTGAATGCTTGTCATAGTGTTTTTCCTTGTATGTGTTTGTGTTGTGGTGACCCAGGGGGGTGGTAGAGGAGCTCCAAATTAAATAGGAGACACAAGACTAATGACCACAAGAATAAATAGACTTTAATGTAACTTTGAGTGGAAAAGGGATTGGGAGTGACGGTTTCTTCCCATCTGAGTTCTCCAGGTGTACAGTAGTACACTACCCGTTAAAGGGTTTTCCACTGTCCTGCAGGAAAAGCAGAAAGAGAGCAGTGAGCCTTGAGTGTTAGGTTGGCAAGTTAGCTTCCCTAGGTGAGGAGAGAGAGAGAAAAAAAAAAGGGGAGAGAGAAAAAGAGTGTTAGCAGTACCAAAATCCAACATTGCGCTGTGTTCAGTCTTTTTGAAAATGCTGTGGCTGAAGGTCTTTTTAACAGCCTCTGCCATCAGTTTGTGAATGGGTAGGTGTGCCCTGCGGTGCAAAAAGCAATTTGAGTAGTCAGATGACAAGAAACGTGCTATAGCTTAAGTCTGTTTACCATTCACAATGAGCCTCTGTTACCCTTACCATACTGCTTGGAAGCTGGCTAAGTAGACTGCTCTGATTACCTTAAGGGCTGCAGGTCAGTCCAATGTGCTCAGAGACTGCAATACCTGAACCTCTATCAACCCCCCCCCCCCCCCCCAAGTATGAGCATGGAGATCCACCTTCTGATGTGGATTGGATGAGCTGTTTCCCCTGGTTTGTGAGTATTTAACAGCACATGTGAATGGGTGTTTGTGGTTGTGCATTTGGAGTATTGTATATATGAAAAAATGCAGAAAACCTTCATTAATCTCCATTAATTACAGATCTGATGGAACATTTTGCTCTGTAAGGGATATTCCTTTCTTTGTGTTTACAGGTGTGTGTGCATATTTGTTTTATTATGTAACCATGTGTAGCCTTGTATATGTGTTATTCTTTCAGTTTAGTTTGAAAGACATTTGCCTTTTACTTCTTTCTGTGTGTATCTGCTGATATTTTGTAGACATTCGTTTACTTGTTTGTCCGACTCTGGTGTGTCCCTACTCCTACACGGTGTCTGTTTCATGTCAGATTATTTTCAGTCTTTCATGTTGCTTTTTTTCATTCTTCCTACCTCGTTCCATTCAAACACTTTACCATATTAAATTCATTCTTCAGAGCCCTGTGTTGGCGTGTTTGTTGCAATGAAAAAATTGCATTCTTGCTGGATGGCTCGGTAGAATTTGTTGTGACAAATCTGACAGCTCGACTAAACAGCTGACGTGTTTCACATACTTTATGCGTTCATTGACTTGGTGAGTGACTGATGATTGACTGAATGACTAGTTAGTTTTCAAACCAGAAGACAGACTGATTGACTGGATGTAACATTTAAATGACTGGTTGTTGTCTTGAGTGACTGACTGACTGTTCTGCCAGTTGAGTGTAGTTTCTCTTTGAAATGACTGACTGGTTGATTGTAGTCTAAGGTGGCTGACTTTCTATTTCTCTTTCAGTTTGGATTATTTGGACACATAAACAGACAAGTGAAGACAAGTCAAGACTGATGTAAATCTGCTGACACTCGTAAAAAACATACTGTCGTAATGTTGCATTTTGGAGGTGAAGATTTGATGTTATAGGCTACTGCAAAACCAGGAGGAAAAAAAACAGATCAATATAACCTTAAAAGTGAAAAGTTCATACCTATGACACGGTATATTCACTTTATGATAACATACAAACTTAACAAGACATTTTTCCTATGAAAAGAAAATATTACATTTTATATTTTTAAGCATGATAATGCAGTAGCCAATCCAGACAATATAGGGATTATTGTCTTCTCTCGGTAAAGATTGCCTTTCTCATTTGTGACTCCTCATTGGTGCTTCAAATCAGTAATACTGTCAATAGAGTTTCTTGGTCAACTGTAGTTCATTTCAATTCAGGCGCCATACCAGTAAGCACTACTGTTTCATTATTTTTACCCTCAGCCAGCCCACAAAAGCACTGATGAAAACCCTCTTCATCCCCTGAAAATGTAAAGTGTTTCTCTTAAATGTTTAACTTTCAATTATATATATATTTTTTTTATTTTTTTTATTTTTTTTTATTAGCTCTTAACTGATATGTAACCGCTTTACAATTTTAATATTTTATTGATAGACTTAATTTAATTAGGACCGTGCACATTCATCAACATATCAGCAATGAGCATCAATGCAAATATGCTAAAATTAGCACAATAGCTAATTCAATCCGTATGAGGTTTGAAATCAGTCCACTATGTAATATCTAGCAGAGCATCATAAGCATTCATTTACGGTTGTTTTTCTTTCTTCTTTACAAATGTAATTTCAGAGTTTACTGATCATGTTCTCCATTAACTCCTCAGAGATATATTTAGCTCTTTAGCTGCTAACTGATGCCCTGTGGTTCAGATATTTGCTAACTGCTTGATGCGGCACACGGTAGATAGTGTACAGTAGAGCTTGTAGCTGAAAACTGGTGAAAACCACATTAAGAGCACTGACAGTCAACCTAAAAAGTAAAGTTGTAGGCTGGTTAATAAAAACAATGAGCTATAAGATGCTATAGAAGAGCAAGGCCAAGTGTCCACCTAGCGTTTTTTTGAATCGCTTGCATGAAGCGTTGTAGCGCTGAGAATAGAAAGCGTTGCACATCCATCCTGTCTCTATGACAACAATCTGTTGACTACGGCAGCTGCATGACCGACACAGCTCTGTTGCTTTTAACTGTATGTTTTTAATTTGAGATTGTTTCTTTCCTGATCAGACATGGATCAAAGAAGATGCGGGTACAAGACACGATCCATAGGATACTAAATTACAGGGAATATCATGTAAATAAAAAAATAGCGGATGTTTTAAAATTAAATGTCTGTTGAAAATCCTGTTTGGCTATTTACACCTTGCATAATCATCATCCAGAGGCGATACTTAAGTACAATGAGAAGAGAGGACAAACATTCCTTCATTTCATTTTTGGCAGAAAGAAACTCTCATGTATTCCGATCAGTTACTGTCAGAAGCTGCCTGAGAAATAAAGGTTTTAGTTTTTTTTTTTATTTGAGTGAGGACTGCATCTGTGGTTTGTAATCTGTGTTTTTGTTCAGGTCAAAGCAGATCAGCGTACTTTTTTCTGAAGCCAAAGACAGATAGCAATCAACTTCATCATTTCCCCTCACCTCTACAGTCAATGTCAAGATGCTCCCCCCAGTGTCTCCATCCCTCCCTCCCTCCCTCCATCATCTGCATCTGTATTCCCCTCCACCTCCACCCTCAGAAGCCCCATCTTCCTCACTCTCTTTATAGTATTCTCCCTTGCTATATTTATTTTTGTCTCCACTCTGCCTTCTTTCAGCCTACTGTATCTCTTATACACAAATCAGTCCCCATGCTATCTTTATTTTTTATCCCTCCTCCTCTCTCTTTTGCATTCAAATTATTCATTTTCTCTGACTCTCTTCTTCGTTGAGGTTTAAGCAGAGGAGTGGGAGAGGTAGAGAAGGTCACTTAGGAGATGAATGTAGCTTGTATCAGTCTGGCATCTCCTCCCCTTCAGATTGGTTTCCTCCTGCCCTCTAGTCACACCGATGCATAATTCATCTCCCCCTTGCTCCTCGTCTTTAATTGTGGAGTTTTGTTACACACTTCTCCTCTTCCTCCTTTTTTCTCATCTTTTTTCTCTTTTGGGCTCCCATCAACTTACTCCTTTCTAGTCTTTTTGTCTTCCGTTTTTATTGCCCAACGACATGTCAAGTTGTAAGGCTGAAGATAACAAGTGAGGCTTCGAAGTGAATATATAAAGTTAGGTGTATGTGGTTTAGCATCAGGATGTGTGGGACTGTGAGTCTGCACAAACCAGTGGGCATAGCCAATATGACTTTGGATGTGAGCTTCTCTTTTAAAGCTTCGAGTTAAATATTTTGCCCATGCTATCTTGTTTTTTGGAACCAAGTAGTGACCATAGCTGGTTGATAGAATAGAAAAACATTGGTAGGCCTCTGTCCTTGTTGACAGGCTACCATGGAAACGACTGTCAGTCACAGTTAGAACGTCATAAGGCTTGCCCTGATTTAACCTCCAGTATACACTATAAATGGGACTTTTTTTTTATAACATTAACTTAATTGCTGTGAAAGGAATGAGGTATTTCGATAACTGAGAAGTAGGCTAAATTTTGCATTTGGTTCGTTATACCCAGTGGTGTAGTGGTACCAGGAGAAGTAGGTATACTCTTAAGTCACGTTCCTTAATTACATTTTTTAGGGGTCCTGTCCAGTAACAGATAAACGCCCTACATTATAACCAGTGACATGTAAGACTAAATATGGGCCCTTAGAAATTACACATTGTGGCACACAATAGCGTGTGACAAATATATAATTATGCATTTCGAGGGAACTACTCCTTATTCCAGAGTGCTCAGAAAACGTATATGTAAAGCAAAACATAACATATTAGTTTTGCAATTCAGTTTTACATTTATTAAGTTACTCTTTCAAATAAGCAATTTGTTACTTTTAAAATATTAACTTGAACAAACTAAAAGAGAAATCCCTGACGCATTCAAACTGTTTCAGTTTGAATTCTATGGTTGAGTAGGGGTGCAGGTGTAGTTCAGGTTGAGCAGCTAGAGCGATGGCAGCGATGAAAGGGATTTATGAAAGTATTTGTATTAACTGACAGGGCAGGCAGGTAGAAGTCAGGCGAGATTTATTTTTCCTATGGACGGCATCGGCAAATTATCAAGACACACGGCTCTCCCTCTGATTGACTTAACCTGATATTCTCACCAAACCAACTAACCAACCAACCAACTAGGGGCAGCTAAAGCTCAGTGGGTTGAGTCGGTCGCCTCTCAACCTGAAGGTTGGGGGTTTGATCTCCAGCTCCTGCAGCCACATGTCCAATGTGTCCTCCTTGGGCAAGACACTTAACCCCGGGTTACTGAGTCAGCAGAATGTGTATGAATGGGATTAGTTACTTCTGATGGTCACTTAAATAGCAGCCTCTGCCATCAGTGAATGGGTGTGAATGGATAGGTGTGACCGGCAGTGTAAAAGCACTTTGAGTAGTCAGATTTACCAACCAACCATCTCTTGCTGTGTATTTGTGAGACTCCAAAGGTTTGAGAAAGCTTCAGTGTGCGTTGATCTGGAAATGGAGCAGGCTTGGGGGATCAAAGAGGTAATCCAGTGGGGGGGGCCTGGCTCCCCCTATTGCTTTGCTCCCTTAGCCAGGTTTGTATTCATGGTACAGGTTTATAGAGCTATGGCAGTTGACTCATTGTTCTGTGTAAATATGAGTGTGGCCAGTCCAAAGATTTATTACTTGTTTCAACATCATCATTACTCTAATCCTCTGAGAACATGTGTATTTTAAGCCAGAATTTATTGCAGCCTAATGTTTGCTTTTGTCATAAAAAAGATACGAGCACTTTCCAGTGTGCCGAGTAAACTGTCTCTTTCGCTCTAGAGTAAACTACACACTTTCCACACACACACACACAAAGTGTTTCACCTCCTCAATTGCTCCTAACAAATGAGTTTAAATAAGGCTATTTAGATGTAAGTGTGGTACTTCATCATTTCTCTGCTGCAATAATTATTGGACTCTCGTTTTTTCCTCGCTCATTTCCACTCAATGCGGAAGCGGCTGGCTGCTTGAATTATGCATGTTTGTTTGTTGGTTTCATTGCACAAGCAGATGTCTCAGCTGGAATAATGGGGGTTCTAGAGAGTTATTGTGTTGTTGCGGGCCTTTTTTTTGTTCTCCGGTTGGAGATATGGTGAGCACTTTGGGGTCTTTCGGCTCAATATGAATGAGATCTTCTGACATGGATGCATATATTTGATTTTCGGTTCTTCCTTTTACCAAGCTTGAATTGGTCAGGGAGGGCGTTTGTTGCTGGGAGACAATATGATTGTAGCTTCATTTCCATGTTTCTGCTCTCTAACTCTTTGTGTCATATCATCACTGAGCTTTCACCCGAACCGACTTTAATATCTGCAATGGAGTTCCTTTTTCTCCACACATAAATCAACAATGTGTTTGGGGCAGACACACAGAGGAAACACAACTACTGTATATTATGTATCGCTGAATCATAGACTTCATCTACCCTCACACTTATCTCTTTTGACTGATACATGACAATGTAGAAAACAACACAGACTATTTCAGTCTCTTTTTAGGGAGCATTGTTTGCCGCTACAACACTTTCTAATAATGTAGTTTTAGGAGAGTTTACAACACCATTGAGGATTTCTTTTCTGCTTCTGTAGAACTGATGGAAAAAGGCTTTGGTGACCTTGTAAACCCCACTCCTACTCCTTCCAACCTTGTTAAACTGTAATTGTATTCCTGTCATTCAGACCTGGGCAATGTTGAAATTTGTATGCTCAAGTACAGACACACTGAATGTACAAATTCTTCCCGATATTGACTTGCAGCCCTTTTTGCTCAGTCTGCATCCCAACTGGCTCAGCACATTGAAATACCCTCCTCTATCGTGTCTATCTCCATCTGCTCTTTGGTAAAACTGCTCTCACTTTCTCCTCTAAGTTGCCCGAAGCCTTAAAAGACCTTCTTCAACCTGACTCTTGATCATCCCCACCTCCCCCAGGCCAAGCTGAGGCCGAAAATGTGTTTGAATTTTTGCTCTTTGCTTGATAGTTTTACAAGGCACGTAAAACATATGCTTCAAAATGTCTCCAATCGGTAACAGTTGGCTGAAAGGCGATGACATTGCAGAAACCAGATTTAAGTAAGAATGTCTGACTTCTGGGAGACACACAGAAAACAGATCCAATTTTACTTTGAAACTGAAGCAAAAAAAATACTTTTGTCAACTGAAGAGATGTTTAAAAAGTAGAAAGGAAAGTGTTTTTTAACAACCACAAGATATTCCAAAAGAATAAACAAGGTCTTTGATACTCCAAGATCTGAGAACAGACAGATGCACAACTGTTACAAATATTATTTTGGTTACTTTGACTCACTCCTCTTTATAGTGAAGTATTAAAATGTCTGCATGTGTTTTTCCCACAGCTGGTAAAGATCCCATTCCAACACTTGTCGCTTCTGATCTTGATAATCGTCTGCTTCAAAATGCGATCTAGCCTGGGGACAGATGCTTAAGACACAGTCAAACAGCATAGTGTGTATGAAATGCAAATGAAACAAGCTCAAGCTGATTTTACACAGATTTTGCCTGATGTATAATGTTAAACTAAACTCTGACAACAGCCAAGCCAATGTCATACTCAAGGCAAATTGTGCTTTCAACAAAGGCAGGAGTGTATATTATCATTAAGGCAACTCATTGGGCTCCCAATGGAGTTATGTGAGAATCTGTTCATCTAGTACAGATTCACAAACTTTTTTGGCTTGTGTACCCACTTTCAAAATTTTTTGCAGCCAAGTACCCCCTTCTCCGGCCAAGAACATTTTCCGTCTCCCACCTCATTTTCCCAACTGGTTCATGACCTTGTTTCAACAGCCTGTTCATTTTGATCTTCCTGGCTGTTTTCTTGTGAGCATGCGAATGCATGTGCTTACTCGCTGAACAATTCACATCACCAGACAGATTCCCTCAGGTCGAAGCAGCTCTACATATAATGTAAGCTATATTATAAATGAATATCCTCGAGTTGGAAATAGTGCCCTATTTGATGTCGCATAGAGAACATATGCTGTTAATTCAGTTGTCTTAAATCGGTGTATGGATTTTCCTATAAATCCTTTATTTGGCTTGTTGTGATGCAACTTTTTTTAAATGACATTTGTGTCGCATACCCCTTGCAGTACTCCCGCGTACCCCTAGGGGTACACGTAATCCCATTTGAGAAACACTGATCTAGTACAATAAAATCATGCCACTCCTCATTCTCATCCAAGTTACATGTCCACAAATATCTCCATTTTAAGACACTATATACCTGCACTCCGGCTCTGCAAAAGAGGGATTCATCCATTCTTTCTATCTGACAGACTTAAGGTATAGGTAAGGTATAAGGTAAACTAATGTGAAACCACACACTGGGACCCCAACATTAGGCCGTTGCTGGTGAAATGTGGAATCAAAGGCGTAATCCCGGCTGATAGGGCTGAATGGCCTTCAAATCATTAAACCCTCCTCTTATTGTACAGTTATTGCAAAGTATACAGTAGAATAAAGCTTAAGAATGAGAGCAATACTACAAATGAATAATAACTATAAACTTACCATTATAGCAAGTCCTACATGAGCACAGTGCAGTAGAAATGCAGGGTTAGCTGTGTGAAGCTGTCAGGCAGTAGACAGTGTGCCCAGCGGGACTCTCACAGAGATAGCTCTTCCACCTCAGAGCCTTCATTCAAGTCTGGGTCATGGACCCTTTCTCCTCCTTCTCCTCCTCCTCGCGAGATGGAGGCCACAGGACTCTCTGGTGGTCTGTAATGAGCTTAGGAGTCAGCACCTATATCACACAAGCACACAGAATGTGTATAGACATTGAGATAAATCTGTGTGTGAGGAAAGGCAAACAGTTCAGAAGCTACAGTATAAACACATATGCATCCTGTGAGCATTATGTCCAATAAAATAAACATACACAAAAATTGCCTTAACAAAAAAAGAATGCATTCTGGCACATTGTGCAAAGCATGTTTGTGCACACACCTGCGAAGGCAGAGCAGCCCTTTGAGGCAGGATTAATGAAGCAGCAAACAAGGCCGCACTCGGCCGCAGTCAACAAGAGCTCCTCAGTTTCTTTGCTCATCTTCTGTAACACTTTGTCTGTTTTACAACACATATCTGTCTTCTGTGCAAGTGGTTCTTGTTTTCTCTGATTCTGTCTGAAAGCCTATATCTCCCTTTTGTAGTGCAGTGAAATTAGGTTATCTACCCTTTGTTTCAACAACTCCTAGCAGATTTATTGAAGTGTATGGGGAGGCGGGGGCGGTGTTTAAAACTTCCTTTTTTTAGTCCTACTGCTGTGCTTTTTTCAATCCCCTTCGTCAAATCTAAATCTAAATTTCTACTGATGCTAGCAACAGAGTGAGATACTGCGCTAACCAGACGCCGAGCTAGACTTGAATATTTAAAAAAAAGATAGTTGCCTTCTTCTCATTACTTGTTAGAAAAATAAGACATAGCTAACTATCTAGCTAGCCACACCTTGCTCTAAAAGAATTATATATAATAGATAGACAACATTTTGCTAGCTAATGGTAACAGGAAAAGAATATGGCTTCCTGATGTGAGGTCTATTTCCCTATCCCCCAAATTAGAATTTTACTTTGTATTATATCAAGCCACATGTGTAGCTTAACTAGTCAGGCAACTAGAATAAAATATTTAAACAATCCATGACTTTTTACCCGCAGTCGAAATTGGAAGGGATGAATAGAAAGACATATTGGTGGTGTAGCCTATAGCTCTCAATATGATGGATGGATGGATGTGGATGTGAATGATTGGATGGATGGATGGACGTGGATGTGAATGTGAATGTGGATGACTGGATGGATGGATGGATGGATGGATGGCTCATTCTCTTCTTCTCTTTTCTTGTACTCCCACAGTGCAGTAAGTCAGGAGCTTGTATTGAGTGGGTGCCTATTAGCAGTTCCCCTATGGCCAAGTTGAATGTCAGGGATATTAAGTTTCCTTCCTCTGACCTCAATACTGAAAATAGAATTAACTGTAAGAGTAAGGAAGAAAATGATTTCAGAAACAGACGTATTCTGAATAAAGAATACGTCTGTAATTATCTAACCCAAAAATGTTGTGTGACTTTCACCATGACACCTAGCTTAATAGATTTTTATCTCCAATCAATGCTGCATTTTCTGTCTCTGTCCAGTTAGGGCAATACATTAAAGCTGCAATATCATTAAAATAAACATGTCAGTGTACACATCCTTATCAGCTACAGTCAGTGATGATGATGAATAGATGTTAAAACCAGCAATGTAATGAATATTGAACTTTAAAATTCCCCTCATCTTCTGCCTCCTGTTCTCTCTTTTTTTGTGGCATAGTGACACCTGCTGGCCAGCTGAGAAACAAAATGCAGGTAGTTTTAATAAAGAATAATTATTATGCCAAATAAATATTCCATAATTTTCACACCACACACACACACACACACACACACACACAGACAAAGTACACACCCAATAACGTTCACATGCAGGTTTGAATAAACACACGAAGACTGCACACTAACTTAAGACAAACACAAATTTATCTTTCTGAGACTTCCATTAAAAAAAAAAAATATGCTGAAGATAAGACTCGGGTTGCATTTGGTGCTTCTGTTTACCTCCGCCGACTGAGCAGGAAATATAATTCCCACTGTGTTGAGAAGGCAGTATATGAAATCTCCTCCATCTGTGCTTTGTTGAATTATAGCAGAAACTGCACAGTGCTCCATCAGTGTCAGGCAGACCTGTAGGTGACAGCAGGGAGGATGAAAAGACAAAGGGTGAGCATCAGGTGGGTGGCAGGGTGTCATGGTGACCTGGGTGCATTAAATGTCATCTTTTGAAAAACTACAATGCACAAGTTTTTATTGCAATTCATATAGGAGTTGTATCAGATGACAGGAAAGGCAGCAGAGAGACGTAAGCAAATATTAGATACACTCCTACATTACCCACTTGCAAATACTAGGATCAAATACTTAATTAAGTCATTCTGTTGGATCTATTCTGCGCATTTAATGTCGTTTGAGCGTTTGGATACAATTTTTGCTTGTAAATCGGATTTTAAACACAACCCCAGTTAAATAAAGCTATATTAGGTCACATAAAACAAAGAAAACACATTACAGAATCATCTTATTGTATAGAAAGAAAGAAGTGTATCTTAAAAGCACTTTTTATTACAGGTAAGCTCAACATGCTTTTACACAAAGGGGAAAAAGGAATACAAGAGTTATTTCAACAATCATGAAGAGTATACCAGATATCAATCCTAAAGAGCACCTCGGGGTGTGGTGGAACGGGATAGTCGTCTCATGGATATGCAGCCCACAAATCTGCAGCAAGGAAGGAGGAATGAGGAATGTTTCCAGCATCTTGTTGAATCTATGCCACAAATACTTAAGGCAGTTCTGAAGGTAAAAGGGGGTCCAACCCGGCACTAGTAAGATGTAAATGTAAAGATGTAAATAATAAAGTGACCGATTTGTGTATTTGTCCGGTTGAATTTAAACAACCCTTTCCAGTATTTTACTAATAAAAGAGATATTTGAGATCGGGCTGCAGTTATTGATTATTGATGGATCCGGTTGTTTTTCTTTACCAAAAGCGTAATTACAGCACACTTAAGAGAAGAAGGGAGAAGGCCGGTCTATAGAGAGGTATTGGTAATGTTAACTATGTAACCTATAAAGCAGTGAGAGTCAGCTTTAAACAGTTGGGTTGGGATAGGATCGAGATCTGAAAAAACAAAATGATTTCATCCAGATTGTTTGAGGTCATCGGGAAATATTGGCCATTGTTATCATTATATACACACAGATAGAAAGAGAAAGCATTGCTGTGATCTCACTACAGAGGGTGCTATTCTTCTCATTGGCTGGTATTTGGGCCCACAGATGTAGCTCTTTCCTTTAGTCCTTTAGTTGATATGAATGGAATACATCAATACATTCTGTGTAGTTTTTGGCATTGAGGTAATCAACATGTTTCTTGAAAACATATATCCACTACATTTTCAATATAATTATGGTATTAAGATTAGATAATAAAAAAAAACTGGGATGTAGAAAAGGGAAAAATATTTTATTTTATTTAATACTTCAGTAAATAAATACATTTCTGGATACTTTTGCTCTTTTTTTTTGAAGATAACATTTTTTATCAGATATTG